CTAATTTAACCATAATAAAATCTTTCCGATTTCAATGCTTATCACGTCACCTTTTAATGCACTGCCTTGTTTCACAACCCCTTCAAGATTATTCCAGAAATGCGACTACTTATCAGCTGTTGTACTCAGTTTTATAGTGCCTAAACATATGGTTTAAATATATAAATTCCCCTGACTTGCACTCACCCACTTCCTGAGCCTAATCAATTCTTTCCCACACCCCCCATACCTTCACCTTGATTACTTTCCATTCACAAAAACCCGAGCGACCATTTTGCGTCGAATTAGTGCTGAATGCAGACGTACTGACGTACTAAATGGAGGCACTACCTGGCCGTAAACAGCGATAAGCAATTATCGATAACCAAGAACCATTTCTGCATACCTAAGTGCGATTTTATGTCGGCCAAAAACCAGAGCAAAAAGCAGCAGCAGATGGCCAGTATTGAAGTACAGGTAGTAGGTTCGGTTCGGTTCCATTCAGAGAGTGAAAATTTCCATTGTTTCCATTTTCGGTTGCAAAACTAGCAGAGAACTATGGAGTTTTGGGTTTCATGGCTCTTTTTGTTATTTTTCCCTATAGATATAGTACGATCTGTGGTTATAATTAGCTTGTCAGTCGTCCCCCCTTCCAACCAAAAGGCTGATAAGAGCTGGTTACCTCTGATTTGGGTCTCGGTGCGGTGAGTTCTGGGCCCATCGATTGTGATAGTACCTACAATGGTATGGTATGGTATGGTATGGCATGGCATTGTATTTTTTCGGTGATTGTCGGTCGCCGGGAATGCGGTGCTAGTATAGTTATCTGTGCGGTTGTTGTGGCTCTGCTAAGCATATATTTTACTATATCTATGCGAATGTGTGGGTTTTCAGTGCGGTCTAGTTTGATATCAGGTTCGTTCAGGGGCTTTTAATTGGGTCGTTAAATGTTTTCGTTCGTTTTCAGTTTTTGTTGCGTTTTGGGAACTTTTATCATGTGACTAAAACGAACTCTGAATGGAAGCGTATCGAATCGAAGCGGATTGGAGTGCCAGGGCGAGAGTGCGACTCTTCAAGGTGCCTTGGCGAAGAGCCCGAGGCGAAAAGTCAACTGCTTAACCCATTAATGCCCAATCAAATTCAAATTGTATGATTAGATATGCACACGAGCAGAGTTTGCTCTCGGCTTCTCCCGGTCTGCCTCGGTCTCGGTCTCGATGACCTTCAGGTCTGCCTTGATGAGGGGTTAAAGTCGCCTTGCCTTAGGGGTGGCTTCGGCTTACACATGTAACTATTGGCATGCCCTCGAGTGTGTTACGAGGGTTGCTGCTCAGTTTCCAGCCCCCGTTCTGATGGGTTTATTAATACCCAGACGCTCCTCCACTCGCTAAATTGTTCCATGTATGTTTCTGTTTGTTTCTTTCGGGGTTTAATCACCGAGAATACAGAATGTGCCGACTATATACACTCTCACTCTCCCTCCTGCTTTACCTCTGCCCTCTTCCCTCCCCCCCTCTTTCCGCTGTCTAATGACTGAGGGGTTGTTGTTGCAATCGCAGCCTTTTGCGATTTGCAAATGGTTTTCCGCGTTTAGGTTTTGTTTTTCTGTCATTTACTCGTTTGTATCACATTTTTATTTCCCGTGTGAAAATCGCAAACAGATGAGCGAGCGGCAAACAGGAAGTGGCCAGGATGGATGAATGGATGGAAGGAGAGTGAGCGAGTGAGTGAGGAAGTGGAGGACTTCCCTTACTTCCTTACTTTTTAGGTAGCAATCCAAGCCTCTGAAGTCTAAAGTCTCTGAAGTCCTTTCGGTGGTTGCTTGATGGGTTGTGATTTGGTTGCCTCGGTGGTTGATTGATGATTGTCTCGCGCTCTGTTTCCCCGAGTTTCTGTGATCCTTTATTTTTAGTTTTTTTTGCCAGGAATGAGGTGTCGAGTGGGGTGCTGGTGGGTTGATGACATTAGAGGGTGTTTACGATAAGCTCGGGGCGTTAATTAACCGTTAGATTGATCTGGCAACCGGAATTTTAAACTGTTTCGTTGCTGCGGAAAATTGAGAGAATTTTGATTGAAGAGACAAATAGAAAGGAAGCGTGAAGTGATCATCCCCATTGTAGTTTTTTAATAGGCAATTGAGATACATTGTGGCTTGACATTATTTGAACAAATTTAAAAGCAAATTGCTGACAGATTTTCCTAGTTCTTTAATTTTAAATAAGTATTTTACTACAACATCTCTTCCTTCTTATTTCATAGACAAATTTTCCTTCAGCGGAAGTGAAACAAAAAGACATTGTACATCACTTTTGCTGAATGGTTTGCCTACGGCTGATCTTCCGAGAAGGTTAATTCCCATCTCATTGGCATATTTCGAGATCATTTTCCACCGATCTCGATCTATTATTCTTCGGGAATCTTCCAGGCAAAAATATCTACATTTCCCGTTTCATGGGAACGCCCGCTCGTCGACGGCCTACCTGTTCTTACTTCTTTTGGGTTAAGCGGAGCTGCGACTATTGCAAATGGGTTAAGGTTTACCTGGGGTCGGCATTTTTTATTCTTCTTCTTCTCGCGGTCTCTGTACTTTTATACCGTAAGACGTTCGACCTTTTCTTTGTTGCTTTCATCTTCTTCGCAGCGATGATGAATTACAAGCGAACCGAAAAAATGTCTGCCGAGAAAACTCCCATTGTGTGTGTGGTTGTTGTTTGTCGAGGGGAAAATGGGGAAAAATGCGTGGCATGTGAGAAAACGAAAATCGAAAAACGGCAAACAAGATACGGGAGGGAAAATTTCTGTAAGCTGGAGTGGGGGAGAGGTCGTCGCTGTGTATGGGTGTGTGTGCGCGCGAGTGTGGAGTGACCTTTTTTTGGGTCTCTGAATTTTTTTCCAGCACCTCTGCCCCTTTTTCCCAAGTCACACAAACTCAGAAAAGAAACCGAAACAGAAACCGAAGAAGACGCAGCAAACATACATACAAGAAATGGGCGAAAACATTGTCGAACTGAAAAGTAAGTGACAGACTTGAGTTGTTTTTCAGGCAAACGAAGCGGATCGTTGGGAAAATTTCTTTCTTGGTATCGATATACCCACTTCCAACTGCAACTATAAACAGCTGAAGTCAAGATATTGGTACTTATTAGGGGAATTTTTGAGGAGTTTAAATACCTAATTAAATTAGTTTGAGAGTAATTGAAAAACTAAGTTTTAATAATTATTTTTATATTTTTCTTTAGCTCTTAAATAATATTACATGAAAAAATACAAGATCTTTTCTTATAGAATATATTTTCAAACACTTTAATTGTTTGATGAGAATCGATTTATTATTGTTATCAGAACTTAAAGTAACAGTTTTATTATTTAAGACTTTAATTGTGTAATTAAATATGGTATATATTTGTATTGAATTGATAAGTAAATTAAAAAAATTTGTTTATAACAAATTTAAAGAATTAAAAATTTAAAGATAATTGTTGTGAAGCTTGAACAGCAATGTAAAGAAAAAAATATATTCTTTAAACATATAAAATACACAAAGTAACCCCATAACCTGTAGATATCTTTATATCTTAAGATCTATTATCTTGACCGCTACTGTACATATACCCCAATGGTACTTCTAGAAAACGCTTCAATGGAAAACTCCAGATACAAATACCTATGTGCGTACTACAACAAAGCAACAGCAGTGGGTCGAAATGTTTTTTTTTTTTTTTTTTTTTTTGCCTAAATATCTTTGAGTCTCTGAACTGAATGGTTTCTTGGCTTCTTCCCTTCAGATACATTTCATGGTGTATCTGTGTGTGTTTGTTTGTGTGCGTCGTGTGTCAATTATGGGTCAGCTGTGCGTGAGAGCGAGAGAGGAAGCGAGACAGAGAGCTTAAGCGAGGGGGCGGTTGTTGGGAGGCGGTCGAAAAAACAGCTGATTTGGGAATTCGGCATCAGAAGTCGGTCAGGAATTAATCTTTCGATTGTGTATGTTTAAAGTGTCTGGGAAAGCCCGTGAATCTTGGGGGAGGATTTCAATTTTAACCAATTTAAATTAAGTGGAAAAATTTGTTTCTATTGAGTGAATAAATATTTAGCTAAGAAATGTAATATCAGAAATATTTACATTCAATTAATGAGAAGCAATTGTTAAGATTACAAAATATTTACAAATTGGTAAATAAGATGTATGTATGAGTATTTAAAAATTTTTCTATCAGAAAATTGTGTGGAAATTTATGTTTTAAACTGATTTTAATTTAAGTTATAATTATTGTTAAATACAGTAAAAATTTAAAAATCTTGTAGAAAATGTATAAAAATATTTATTGTAAGTTTATGTAGAAAGGAATAAAAATTAATTTATTTAACACATTTTCAATCACAACTACGTATTTATAAATTTAAAAAAAAATTATAATTTTTAAAACCCTCGAAAATTTTTGTTGACTTTGAATTATTTTACAAAACTAATTTCTTCTCACGATTATTCCCCTTAAACTATATTCACGAATCTTACAAACTAATTAAACTACACAACTATTATTATTAATATTATGTATGATTCAACGAACAACAAACAAAGCATAAGAGACACGAAAAAAATTTACATAAAATATCTAAAAACAAAAGCACATTCCATTTAATTATTTTCTGGGTTTTAGTTTTTCCTTTTTTTGGTTTTTATAATTTTGATTCAAGCACAACAATTAAAAGTTTTCTAGTGGAGAAGAAATAAAATTGTTGATATGGCCATAAAGAATTTTAACTTGTTGTTTTTGTTTTGGTACTTTGTGTGTGTGTTTATAAATTGTTTTATTTTTAGCCCAGGTGAAACATTATTTTTAGCCGGGGCAATTTTATTGACTGTCGAGATGAGGAGATACTCAGAGACACACAAAGTTGAAGTTGAAAAATTCTTTTGGCTCATTTGCTGTGATTATTTTTGTTTTCTTTTTTTTTTTTTTTTTTTTTTATATTTTGTTTTCTTGTTTGGTTTAAGTGGAATTTATTTTTAGATATTTTACCTAAGTTTTCTTTTTCTTTTGGGTTTTATGGCAACAGCGCGTGGTGTATTAATTGTTGTTGTTGGTTGTTGAAGTTGTTGTTGGTGCTGTTGTTGTTGCTCTTGTTGTTATTTAAGGTGGGGACAGGTGCACGTTGCAGAAGAAGAAGCAGCAGCTGCTATGTGCTATCTCTTTCCCGCTAAAGTTGTTGCTGTTATCAGTTTATCACTAAAGAGTTTTTCCTTTTCGGTTTGCTCGCACTTTTCACTAGTTCTTTGTTTTGTTTTGTTAATTTATAGAATTTAGGGGTTCTTTAATTTTTGTTTATTTCTTTGGAAACTTACTTTTTGGAATTGCGCTTCGTTGTTTGTTTGGAATACATGGGAATTTTGTCAACAATCAATTGCATGGCATCAACAAATACATGGGACAACAACACTTGTGTTGTTTTTTGCAGTAGATTTTAATTGTTGCTGTTTTTTTTTTTGTTGTTGTTGTTGTTAATTTTTATTAAGGTTCACTGCAGCATTTTCAAAACACACTCTTTCTCTTACTTTTCACTTTTATGCTGATTTGTTTCTTTCTCTATTTTTTCTTCGTTGCGTTTTTTGTTTGTTTGTTACGCTTTCACATTTGTTGTTGGGATGTTGCACAAGTTTCTTTTTGTATTTATTTATTTACTTTTTGTTGCTGTTGTTTTTTGGTTGCCTAGCAAAAGTGTTGTAGTTTTAAAAATATTTTTTATATATTTTTGATGTTGTTGTTGAAATTTGAAGATTTTGTGCTAGTTTTAAGCGATAATACTGTTGTTGTTGTTTAGTAGTAATCCAAGATGTTGCGCCGCTAACAGGAACTTTGGGGCACTTAATCCAAAAAATGTGTGCTCTATGCGGTTTGTTTACGTTTTTTTACGCTTTCTTGTATCTTGTCACTTGTCACTTAAACATAAGTTTTGCAATTCTTGTTTGTTTCTTTTGTCACTTGTAGATTTGCGTTTTGTCACTACTTTTGTTGAGTTAGAAATTTTCGAAAAAATTACGTTGGATTTCGCGACTTGTGATAAAACTCTGGTTGGTTTCACATGAGCCGTGGCTTTGAGATTTTTTGGCCTGGCTTCGCTTCGATTCGATCCGTTTCAACCGAACGAGACGACAACGTTCGACGGGAGCCAGAAAGGAACTGAATGAAGTTGGCAGCTGAGGCTGACATCCGGCGACCGACTGAACGACTGTGCAGCAGCGGTGGCCAGCAGCTGCCGCTGGGCACCGCTGCTCGGCTCGGAGCCGAACTCACCCACACGGCAAGCCGAACCGAACACGAAGTACAGTTCGCTCTCGCGGCGAGAACTCTCTATCGGGTTGATTTATTTCAGGTTGGTATTTCGTATTTCGTATTCATTTCGGTCTGTTAAGGGGCGACGACGCGCGAGCACTTAAGTAAAATAATAATTATGTATACGTATGTCAATTTGTTTGACTTCTTCGCCTCGCGCTTCCCTACCTTTTCTACTACCATTTCAATTTGGTAGGGTAGTAGTAGAATTCACTACCTTTTTCGAGCGTCACAGCCTCTTCAGCCTGGCATTTGTGGGGCGCTCTCTCGAGGGGGAAAAAAGGTAGTTTGGTAGTAGATCTGCTGCTACTACCTTTTGGTACAAAGCGGGCAGCTGACATTTATTGGGTTTGTTTTGAAAGCGCTTAATGGGTGCGAGTGCGAGTGTGCGTGTGTGTGTCAGTGTTGGCGAGTGTGTTTGCGTTAAGTAGATTTTTCAGCACATTTGTCTTAATTGTTGTGATTTGTGGTTGATTTTTGAATGATTTACGGCGTGTGCAGTGCCAAGCGGGATTAATTGTTTTTTAAATGTTAGCTAAGGAGACCCGATAATTACTATATTTCTATATTCATATTCTAAAAATATATATTCGGAACAATAACTAAATAAAGTTATTTTAAGAAATTATAATTAATTATAAATGGGTAAACATGTCAGCTTAAAATTGTTATTTAATTTGCTCCACTTTAACCCTTTAAGAACTTTGCATTTGCAGTGACCGCACAATTGATATACTTTAATTACCCGAATAAAAAACATTTAACAATTTAATCTGAGCATATCAATTGCCCACACTCGTACACACACACGCACACACTCTCTCACATTTCACGCTCTCGCGCTCTCTTGGCAAAATCCACTCCCAATTTATCACTCAATTAGCACGGAAAAATGTAGTAGTGTATTTACTACGCTTCTGTCTCGCGCTCTCTCTCTCTCTCCCAGTCTCTCCATCTCGCTCACACTCGTTGACTGTGCGGCTTATAGCTATCTCTCTCGTCGCTCTTGCACAGCGTGAGAAACTCTCTTTCTGGTATCGGGTGTTCATCTCAATGAAATTGTAGCATATTTGTTGCCATATCGAGATTAAATTTTCAAAACACAAACGAGCACAGCACGAGAGAGAGAGAAAGAGAGAGAGAGAGAGAGAGTGTGAGCCAGAAAGAGATGGGGAGCACTACGCTACCAACCAAGCGAAAGAGATGGCCTTAGCCCGAGAGAAAGAGAGAGAGCGAGTGAGAGTTCGTTTGTATGCGTGGCTTGTAAGCTTTTGTATAATGCTCGAGGTGGGGATAAGTGCGGGGGCGGTAGGAGGGGGAGATGGGTGGTTGGGTGGCTGGGTGATTTTGTGGGTGGTTCGTTTGGGGTCGCGATTTATTGATGACGCCAGCGTCGACAGAGACGCCGCCAGCGACAGCGACGGCGACCGTGTTAATGTGTTTGTTGCTCTCTGGCATAAAATTATGTTTTATTTTATTTAACATGCTCTGCCTCGATTTTTGGCAGTCCTTGTCATAATTCTGATAAAATGGTTTTTCCCCCTTTGCGGACGGAGGGGGGAGTTGGGCAGAGAATATCCTGCCTCTCTGCCCAAAAAGGAAGTCTTTTTATTTTCCAGGCTCGAGTGCTGAGAAACAACAACAAAAATGGCAACAACAACTCATCGCAATAATGACGATGATGGAAGTAATGATGATGTTGGTATGTTATGTTGGCAGCAGCAGCAGCTTCATTGGGTTATGCTTATATGGGTTTGTATTTTCATATTTTTTTGTTGTATTTTTGTATTTTCGTATTTTGTATTTGGGTTCGAGTTTGAGTTTGAGTCGAGTTCAGGCCCTCAGTACACACATTCACTTGGTGTGGTGTGCCGTGTGTGTAGTACAGTGATGACTCGTAAAAAATTAGCAAGGATATTTGGAGGAAATAATAAATTCGCCAATTAAAACTATAATTTAATTATAAAATAATTCGAAAGAATTTATTGAAAGAGCCTACAAAAAGGGTTATAATGTTTACCAAGTTATTTTTTTCAATAAGGCATTTAAATTGCATAAATTTCTTACAAATTAAAGGAAAATTGCTAGTAACTGTTGAGGATGCTTGCAACATTGAAAGGATAACGTTTGATTTACAACAGTAACCAAAACTCATTAAACCATTTCTTTTAAATTAACTTCAATGTGAACTGCATTTGATGCTTAAATTATGCTATTATTGGAGGCTTCACTGTGCTTACGGTTGTGCGTTTGGGTACTGTGTGTAAAAGGAAGTGTACTGCGTTGTAGGCCGTCGTCGTCATCGTCATCGTCATCGCTTTCCGCTGCTGTTGTTTGTGCTGCTGTTGGTGTTGTTGTTGAACTGCTGCTGTGGTTGTTGTTGTAGTTGTTCCCTGTGTGGTTGTTATTGTTGGTGTTTTTTTTTTTTTTTTTCAGCACGTGTGTGAGTGTGAGTGAGGGAGGGACAATGGGTCTGTTTGTCGCTCAGTCCTCTGCCACTTCTTCATCATCGTCCTCGTCCTGCGACCTCCTCCCTTCAGCCTACTCCCTCCTATCCTTCCTTGTCCCTTCATCCTGCGGGTATCTGCATCTGTATCTGTATCCGTATCTGTATCTGTGTAAATGCGTTGGTTGTTGGCTTGTTTCGCCACCGTTCCTCCCCCGTTTCCAACATCCTCGATCATCGGTTCCTTGCGGCTGCCTACGTGCGTTTGTTCGGGTGCCGTGTGTGTTGTTGTCGTCGGTTGCTGTCCCTCTGCCTGTGCCTGTGACCGTGCCTGTGTTCCTATTCCTGTTACTTTGGCTGTGACGAAGCACTGGAACTGCCAAATTGCTAAACAGCCATAAAACAGGGTGTCCCCGGCATGCGTGTGGGGGTGTGAGTGAGGAGGGGATTTAAGCTAATCGCAGGTTAGCTAATCAGAGAATGTTTGGGCTAACAACAAATTAAATAAGAAATTACCACAGAAAAAAGCTAACCAGAGATTAAGAAATTATTATTATTTGAGGAAAGAAAATTTATAAATTATTTTAAGTCTCATATGGGATATAAAAGTTTCATTATGTTATTTAAAATGAAGTCTCCCCTGTCCCTTAATTGAATTAAAATATAAAGTCCAAGTACATTTTCACCGAGTTGTCTCAATTTATTTGGGACTCACCCTGTTCCGGTGGCCAAAAACGGCTGTAAAAACAATTTAATGGATAAAACGACAAAAATCTGGTTTTCACAAAAACCAAAAAGCCAACACAGCCAACATCCAGGAGCAACAACAAAAGCAGGCGACGAAAGCGCTGAGGGGGGATAAAGGGGGCTGGAAAAAGGGAGGGGGGGGAGTTAGGAAGTTGCTGTTGCTCGGCTGGAAGAAGAACACTCATGGGAACAACATCAGCAGCAGCAGCAACATACGTAGTCGCAGCAGCAGCAGCAGCAAAGCCAGCAAAAGCAGCAGCAAATGTTGAGATTACACTAAAAGTAACTGCCAACAGCAGCAGCGACGTCAGCAGAAGCAGAATGCAACGCAATGAGAGAGTGCAGCACTAAAATCAATTATGTAGCCAGCGCAGCAGCAACACCAACAGCAACAACATCAACAGCAGCAGCAGCAGCAACACCAAAAGCAACAGCAGCAACATCAGAGCGACTGCAACAGCAGCAGCGTGAAAATAGTAGTGAACAAATAGGATAAAAACAAAAAGAAAGAACCATGCTGTCAAGTGTACAGACTATGAGATACCCTGTGTTATAATTATTGTTTACTAGGTATAAACATAAACCGAAAAGCATGCTTGACCTTATTTAATAGCAAATATCCTTGGAAATATTTCCATTAAAACAATATGGTTAGATATTACTTCTTATAAATTTTGTTTTATAAATAAATTAAATTATATCCATATTAACAACAGTTCCCCGAAAACATAATACCCCTTAACTGACTGAGTGCAGGGTATAAAAAGCAAAATAGTAAAGCAGTAGACGATAGCAAACAAAAAAAGGGGTGATGGGTGGCAGTGGCACAAGTAGGGATAGCTGAAATGGGGAGATGGAAGTGGGAGGTAGTTGCCAAGGCAGGGTGGAGTAGGTGGATAGGCGACGGAAGGCCGAGGGGGCGGCGGCACACAAGTGTCTGTTTGTCGTTGCGTCGGTCAGTCGGCGAAAATATGTTGCGCATTTGCAAGCGAGAGCGACAGAGATGGAAGCTAACGTCAACTGCTGTTGTAACTGTTGTTTTTTGTTGGTGTAGTTGTAGTTGTAGTTGTTGTTGTTGTTGGGTGGCTGGTAAAATGCGTGCAAAAGCAAAGCCAAAAGCAAAGAAAAAAATAAATAAAAAATAAAAGAAAATAGGAGAAAAGCCTTAGAGCGAATCTTGGGATACACTTATAATGCCACTATAATGCTTTTCTGAGGATATATAAAAAGTAAGTTGTTAATATTTCAGTTATATTAACACCTTCAGAAAGTTTAACAATTTCATGAACATTAATTTTTTAGTTATTTCAACAATTAACAAAATTTTAACAGTCTCAAAATTGTTAATAAGTTAAAGATTTTCAAAAAAATAAATAAAAAGTTCAACTACTAAGGATATTATTATATATATTTTTTGTTTAATTTAAAATTAAAATAATAACTAAATTAAATAAATAAAAATATACAAAGTCAATATCAACTACGCTCAAATTAATTTCAAGAAGACACCTAAACCCTTAATAACAAGTGCTAATCAGGAATGGATGGAATATGAGAGACTAAAAGGCTTTAAAAATTAAAAAGCTTACATTTTTTTTGGGAGGGTACCAGGTAAGTGTAAACAAAAACAAAAAAACAAAATACTAAAACCAAAAGCAGCAGCAGTAGACGATGAACTTTGCTGGCTGCCTTTGTTGTTTGCTGGCTTTTG